TAGGTTTTTGGGTTTGTTTGAAACAGTCTGGCCAACGGTCTGTCCCCCCCAACCCCCCACCCCCGGCCACCGCAAGGCGCACGCAAACCCCATAATGTGGTTATTGCTAAGTAGTTAAAAAAAGGTCACCTCTGCACCAATTCACCTGGAGAAGAGTCAACACACACAGCTGCTCTTCCCCTCACTCTTCCCGTCCCCAAAGGGAACTTTTTTAAAAAATAAAAAGTCTTTAAAAAAAAATCACAACCTTCTTAATTTAGCTGAGCTCAGCCCTCAAAAAGGATGAGGAACGGAGGGGCGGGGCTACCGGCAACCTCCTCTCGAAGGAGAAGAGATGGCAGGTGGTGTTCAGAGGGAATAAAACTCGACTTTCAAGTTCTTCCCCATCCCATCTCCAAACATCAATTCACTCGACCCCTCCTCACGGGCACCCACGGGCGCGCATTACTGCCCTGTCTTTCCAGATCCTTCAGGAGGAAGAATTTATCCAACCCTCATTTCTACAATTAAAATCGATAGCAAGTTTGTCTCATCTCCCTGTTTCCCTCCACATTCCCAACTCAGTCCACCGTGTGCTTTTACCGACCTAAAGGAACTTTGGTCTGTTTTTTTCTTTTATTGACTGAGAACCAGCTTTTCCTGTTTCTCCCCCAGACTTCTGCCCACCCCCCGCCCCAAACCTTCCCCACCTTCCCACAGGCCCCAGGATGGACCCAGGGGCTCATGAGACAGAATCGCCACCTTTCCCCTCTACACCTCCTCAGTCCCATCAAGTCGAGATCTGCGAAGGAGGCGCCGGGCCCTCGAGGCACCGTCGCAGGCCCTGACCTGGTCCCTCCAGCCTGGCAGCTCCCCAGCACACACACCTTCAAAGTTTCCAGCCAGGTTCCCACAAACGTCACTGCATTTGCCCCGTCAACATGGGGGCTGGGTCTTGACGAGCCAATGAGTCGAGCTGACTTTCTTTGTTGAGCCCCCTGCCCTCGAGGCCCCCTCAGAACCTGTGCACCAGCAGCTCCCCACCCGGCTCCCGCTCCCTCCTCCTCAGTTCCTCCCGGTAACAGCAGGAGCAGAAGTTGCTGGTCTCGGGGTGTCCGTAGAAGCTGCAGTTCGGTTGTTTGCATTTGGTCTGGGTTGGGGGGAGCCCCCTGGGCCCTCCCGCCCAGCCGTCTGGCTCTGGGGGCTCTCGGTAGCCGTTGCTGTAGGGCTCGGCCACGCGGAAGGCGGGTGGTAGCAACGAGCCCCGGTGGACCCCGTCCCTGGGGTGACTGCCCAGCTCCGGGGCAGGGCTGCTGTCCTGATGCGGGGAGGGCCGCCCAGGCGGGCACTGTCTGGGGAAGGTGGCATAGGGTGGCAGGCCCCCCCCACACGGACCGCCTGCCAACTGCCTGCGGGGCTCCTGGCAGTGAACGCCGCCCCCAGAGGGCCGAGGGATGGTAAAGCCCCCGGGGTAACCGGCAGAGTACGCCAAGGCCTTGGACTCCACCAGGGGGGCCGTCAGCGGCTCCTCCCCGCCATCCGGCTCCGGCTTCTTGGCCGGAGGCGGCCCGCTCCCTACCCCTCCATTCATGATCTTCCTCTCGGCCTCCTTCTGCTTCTGCTCGGCCAGGAATCTCTCCTCGGCGTCAGAAAGGTAGCGCTGGATCATCTCCTCCTGATACTGCTGGCGGTGACCCATCTTCAGGGTTCCGACAAAGATGAACTTCCCCTCCCCCTGCATGGCAGTCCTCATGATGCTCAGGCTTTGCATCACCTCCTGGCTGTACTTGCTCCCTCCGTTCCCCACAGACTCGGCGGAGGGCTTCTCGGACACGGGCCCGTCCCCGGCCGCCTCCTCCTTGCCACCCTTCCAGCTCTTCAGCGAGCTCTTCTTCCTCTTCTCCAGCGTCTCCGCGCCACTGCTCGTCCCCGACCCCGTTCCCACTCCGCCGGGCCTGGAGCCCTTGCTGTGCATCAGGCCTCCCATGTTCTTCTTCAGCTTGCTGCCCAAGGTTTTGCCGAAGCTGCCCAGTTTGTTGGCCACGGAGTCCGCCCTCTTCTTGTCCTTCTCCCGGTCCCGTTTGGACTTCTCCTTCCGCCTGCCGCCCTCATTGCTGGCAGAACTGCTGCCCACCGACTCCTTGTCTGATTCCCCGGACTCGGGAGTGGACCGGGCCTCATCTCCAGCGGAAGCCGTGGGAGACTCGGGCTGGGCCAGGGGAGCCTGGGAGAAACAAGAACAGCGCTGTCGGTTGTCCCGTTGCTCTGGGTCGGGGGAGGGCCCTGGGACCTCCGTCCCCTCCACTTGGCTCATGGGACTCCCCAAGGCCATTGCTGGAGGAATTGCCACGTGGAAGAGGGCGGTAACGCCCCTGTGAACTGTGTCCTGGAAGTGACTGGTTTCAGAGAGAGGCCGCTGTCATAACAGGGGAAGAGTCACCCAGGAGGGCACTGTCCTTCCTCGGCTCCAGTCACCCTCCCATGGACAAGGAAAAGCTGTATCTAATATCTAACTTTCACCTCCCCCTGCAAGCTGACTCCCTTCTGTCATAGGGAGATGTGAAAACGAAGCCTGCCTCCTCGAGAGCAGTGAGTAACTGCACAATACACGACCTCTGAGGAGGGAGAACATTCTACAGACACCAGAATATGTCCTGTATTATAAAATTCTCCGTGCCGAATTCTGCCCTAGAAAGTCCTGACCAACCACGAGCAACCCAGGCCACCCAACCTGCAGAAGTTCGGCTCTGGGGCCCAGCCCTCTGCCCTGCTCCTGTGCCCCTGTCCCACAGATAATAATGACGTCCTCAGAACCCACTGGAACAGGAGCTCTTTAAGCTATTCTGTCTCCTCTGGTGCCGACGCAGAGGTCTATGTACAGTGGGCTTGGGACAAAGTAATGACAATCTCTCCTCAGAAAACTTCTTGAGGAATGTGTTTTCACATCAGAAAGCAGAGCTGGGTCGGAGAGGGAAACGGGGTCGCTGACAGGCCAAAAGGCAGGGCAAAGTGTCTTCTGGCACAGCGTCCGATGCAGTCCGGTCACTCCCAAACCTGGACACCTGGACCCGGCCGCCACCCGGAAGAGACTCAGAAGCAGCGTGCCACCAGAGCTCGTTCTCCCTGCCACCAGAAATGAGGACGCACAAGGCTGAGGTGGGGACGTCCTCACCTGTGCATCTGAGGACACGGGGACCCACTTCACATTCATGTAGCTATGAAGCAGATGCAGTTTGACCTCTAGGGACAGGATGACACTAGGAAAAGGAGAAAAAGAATTAGAAATGTGCTGCGACCTTTAAAAAGCAAAGCAGTGTGACAGCTAGGAGGTCCAGAGGGAGCGGGCTTGGGACTCGGACTGGGCTGGATTTGAATTAGAGCTACACCAGTTACTAAGCTTGATGACCTTGAGTAAGTCACTTCACCCTCCCTGAAATTCGACTGGGGCTGATAACAGGTACAGATAATAATATATCCTGCAGGGTTTTAACGAGGACTAAAATGGTATTTGGAAAGGACCCAGCCGTGTCTTGAAAACAGAAAATGCGAAATGGTACCCATTGTTATTGTTGTTGATGCAGATATTATTTAGAAGGAGCTTTTGAAAGTTAGGTGGGCTCTCACTTAAAGGCGTAAACTCTGGGTTTTTTAATCAAACGCTTTCAGTTGGGTCCCAGTTCCAGGAGCCCAAAGAAGGAAGCGCTGTTTAAATTCCAGAAAGGCAAACATCCAGAGCAAAGTATTTTGGTCAATTATTTAAAAGCCCTCTCTCTTGGCCTGGGAGAAGAAGTGTACATTCATTATTTTGATTTTCTGATCACTGTTTTGGGGACCCTGGGAGGTATCGGTGCAAAGCCGCTTTTCATAGTGTAAGGAAAGAACAGATCGAGACCCCAGGACTCCAATCTCTTTCACAGGGCGAAGAAGCAGGTCCACACTGCAAGAGTCCTGGTGCCCGACCTGTCCCCCAGCTCTCCATCGTCCCGAGGACACGAGAGCTGGGCTGTGACTGTCCTGCTCTGAGCCGAGGAAGGGTGCCTGGGAGACGGACGCTGAATGTGGAAGAGATCGCGGCCACAAAGCGGATGCAGAGGCCAGGCCTGCCTCACCTGGCCAGTCGGACGTTGTCGTTGTCGTCTCTGCCCCACTCCCAGCCCTTTCCAGGGTCCACAGCAAAATGCAAGGGCAGCAGCTTATGCTCTGAATCTGTAAGTGGGATCACAGCTGGGGAGGGAAAAACACATCATTAGGAGTCTCCTTGAGGAGCGAGGAAGGCCAGTGAACACAGACTGACTTCACCGAAAAGGAGGCTGAGGGGGCAGCGTGATCACCGCGGTCACCCCCAGTGCTTGCGTGGGAAGCGCACTAGCCTCACAAACTAGCAGGCTGCGTTTCCCTTACTATCCAGCACGGAATTTAGGTCGCTAATCTCCACGACGCCCCACGAGTCAGTCAACTAACACTACGACATTCTTGCCAGTCGATGTAAATTCAGGAAATTCAAGGTCATCATTAAGACAAATACGGCGAAGGTTCTATGACATTTGGAAGGTTCCATGACATTAATCCATAGGCTCTTTACTCCAGAACAGGGGGCAGGGATTACAGCCTACCGTGTTTCTTCCCAAACCTCTGTTTGTTAGTTTTTAAAGAATTTTAAAACGCTGGTGTATCTCACAGCTTGGAAAAACAGCATCAATGTGCGCTGACCGGGGTGCATGTCACTTAATTCTTCCCTCCTATGTTCTAAACTCTCCCACTTCAGTTCTCCCAAGCGGAAAGGCAGCAGAGGCACAGACACTGCACCCAGCACCTTGTTCCTTGGCGCTCTCCTTCTGCTCCATGGACACGAGCGCAGAGAAGTGGGCCTGGTCATAGGCGAGCACCAGCGGCGAGCGGTGACACTGGCTGGCTGGGACCTCCAGGGGCAGATAGATTCCCCCAAAGGGAATCGGGGCGAATGCTGCAGGAAACCACGAAGATTATCAGCAAGGCCAAGTTCCCGCCTAGCGGGCAAGCCCTCCGCTGCATTCTGCCCGCCGCTCCCCTTCACTCCAACCCCCGCTGAATAACTCTT